CTCATAAGGTGACCTTGAACAATTATAATGCTATAAGAAAGCGATTGGCAGTAGCGGAAAACTGTCAGGGGAAGGGGGGTGGGACTGGCAGATGATGGAAACTGCTAGAGGAGGGAGGGGCATACCTCGTCAACAAGGGCACCTGCATGATCAATGTTTGTATATATAACCCTGTACCCCACATCTTTATAATAAATAAATAAATTTAAAAAAAGAAATAATCAACATTTTTGCAACATAACTCAATGCTAATCATTGATAATTGCCATTTAATTTTTTATATACCAGTAACAGAAGAACCATGAAACACAAATTCATATGCCTCAGATCTTATTTCCAGATTATATTAGATTAACTTTTTAGTTAATTTATATCTCTAAGCAACCTAGACTCATTAGAATTTAGAGTCAGAATAAATTTTAAAATAAAATACATAGCAATCAGCCCAGTCCAGTTATTTGATGGCAATTATTGAAATGTATTATTTCGAGTACTGAAGTATAAATTATTGAATGTAGGCAAAACATTTTAAAAAGCCAATGTCTAATAAGTAATGAAATGTTTTGGTAATATTTATTGAAATATAATTATAACTTATTAAGCAATATTTTAAAAAATCAACAGAAAAGTGATGCTTTCCTTACTATTATCAAGTCTTATGTGTGAAGTCATTTTAATTAATTATTTAATAAGTATTTTTAATTTTTTCAAATAATATAAAAAAGGAAGGTGTTTTTCATTTTGCTGTTTAAAAAAAAAAAAAAAAAGCTCTGAGTGGGTAGATTTGGATAGCAGAATTCTAAGATCATGTAACACAATGAGAATTGTTTCTTATCCTCAATCCCAAATAATGCAAATAATATCTAACTTTCACCTTTTTACTGCTTTATTAAACTTAGGTTAGGAATATGTTTGACCATTCTCTTTCTCAGAGACTCTAAATCCTGTCTTATTAGACTGAACAATATGAACTACTTCTAGTTTAAATAAATCTATTTTGAAAACCAAAAGCAAACTTTGGCTCTAAATAGCTGCTTTTAGCCTATTAACATATGGATAAATTATATATTGGCTTGAAGAAAAGAAATTACATGACTGATTCCAGTGACAATTTCTATCTCTATATCCACACTTGATCACGCAAACCATCAAACAGAGATTACAAATTCCATTGAATTTTTAAAATTTCAAACACACTAAGAAAGGTATGGTACCTCCAAGGAAAAAAAGTACTTGTCAACTAATAGAGACAACAAAAAAATTATGACCGAAAGAACTGACAGAGAATAGTATTAATTTATTGGGTGAGTTTAATTACTGAAACTTCCTAGCACATTAATTTTACTTCTTTCTAAACTTAATTTTATTCTATTTAACTTGTCTCTAATGCTTATAACTATTAGGATCCAACTCACTGAGGTTTTATGATTACATTATCATAAGAGAGATTTATGTCTATGCCAAGAGAGACAGCTTTAAAAAAAATTCTGTAGCACCAGAAGAGAAATGTTGTTTATATGTGGATACCTGTATCACCCCATACCCTTTTCAGATTGGTGCTAATAAAGAACTCATAAGGTTCAGGTACAATTATTATTATTATTATTTTTGAGTCGAAGTCTCACTCTGTTGCCCAGGCTGGAGTGAAGTAGCACGCTCACGGCCACCGAAGCCTCGACCTGCCAGACTTAGGCGATCCTTCTGCCTTAGCTTTTCCAAGTAGCTGGAACTACAAGCATGTGATACCATGCCTGGCTAATTTTTTGATTTATTTTTTAATTGTAGAGACAAGGGCTCACCAAGCTGCCCGGGCTGGTCTCGAACCCATGGACTCGGGCAATTCACTCGCCTTGACCTCCCAAAGTGCTGGGATTACAGGCTGAGCCACCAAGCCTGGCCACAATTATTTTATAATTCCTCAAAAGTCAAAAAGTTGCCCCAATTTTCTCAGACAACCTGAGTCATCTTTTTCTTTCTTCCCTTGTCTTGGTCCTCTTAAATTGTTTACGCTTATCTGTTCACCATTCTTGCAATACATAAAATATTAGGAGCCGGGCTTGGTGGCTCAGCCTGTAATCCCGCACCTTTGGGAGGCTGAGGTGAGTGGATTGCCTGAGCCCGCGGGTTCGAGACCCGCCTGGGCAGCAAGACCTCATCTCTACAATAAATAAAAAAAAAAAATCAGCCGGGCGTGGTTGCGCATGCCTGTAATTCCGGCTACTAGGAAGGCTGAGGCGGAAGGATCGCCGGAGCCCAGCAGGTCGAGGCTGCGGTGGCCGGGAGCGGCCACTGCACTCCAGTCTGGGTGACCGAGTGAGACTCCAACTAAAAAAATAAATAAATAAAATAAAATAAAATAAAATATTAGGATACAGATGCAAGTCGATAATCAGAATCACAACCTTGGGAAACAAGTTAATTTCACTGAGTTAAAAGGAAATGTGAAGTGGGGGATAGTTGAGCATTTACATCTTCTCCAAAGATCTTAGTTTATTGACATATTTTAATCATTTTCATATAAAATTCACGGTATACACACACAAAAAAATCATACATGTGCTCTTTTACCCAAGAGCAATTTGGTATTAAACCGTTTTCACGGACAAGCAAACTTCCATTTGTTCACACTGTTACTAATTGGCAATACTGTTCCACAGAAATGAGAAAACCAAAACAGAAGGAACGTGCTCTGTCCACATACAACAATAAAATGGTGAAACAAATCCCAATTACTCTTCATCGGTAGCTCTATCCTTTAGTGAAGTAATTCCTTGTGTTCTAGGTAAGGACTCCAAATTGTTAAGCACACAAAAAAGGATTCCACTTCCAAGAATAGGAATTTACAGCATAAGAGTGGCCATCAGTCCCTTCCCACTGTGGGAGCTTCTCTGAGCTCTCAACAAATCCTACTTTCTCAAAAAAAACCCAAAAAACGACCACCATAAGCCATAAGAATATTTTGACTTTTTGAAACTGATTTCTAACCTCTCTTCCTGGTGATCTTGTTTTTAACAATTCAGGGCCAAATATATTTGCAATTTTATTTTCATTTCACTTTGAAAGGTACAATTGTCACTGTAGTCTGGTGGCCTGAAATTCTTGTCACAGTGTGTTACTCACATGCGTTTTTCCTAGTTCCACATTGTTAAATCATGCTCCTTGGGAGCATGGCTTCTCTGCATGGGGGCTGTATGCATTTGGCATTCTGTTAATAGTAACTGACTCTGGACATTTCATGGTAGATTTTCGCTCTCAGTTATCTCTGGAAGAACTGAATCAAACTGGAAAGTGAGACAATGACTACAGATGGTGGATATGCACAAGTCTCCTCATGATTTTTATAGATTTTGAGAAAGAATTCTGAAGAGTGGCAAATATCCATTTTTCAAAAACATTTAAAACATTTTTAATATCTAGTCCTAGTGAGTTGGCATGAGACTGATATTTCCATATTCAGCGTAAGATTCCTAGTAGCCATTTTAAGAATTAACCATTATCGTTGTGTTTCTGGTTACTACTCAGACGTTACGTGCTGCGTAAAACACTATTCTATGAGATTTGCTTGTTTATGAACATGGAAACTTAGATTTTATTGTGTCAGCTTGCTATAAGGAAGATTCATTTATATAATTCTTTACCACTAGATTACTATTTTTCTCTCTAAATTTAACAGTGAATAAAAAACCAGTTTGCTGAATTAAAGAGGAAAATTCATGTCATGTTTAGAAAATTTTCATTTTCTCTTTTAGAGATGATCTCTCTATGTTGCCCATGCTGGACTTGAACTCCTGGGCTCAGGTGATCTTCCTGCCTCCTTCCCAAGTAGTTAGGACTAACCCTGTGTCTGGCGCTTAGAAAATTTCTAATGCACTCAGCTACCTGTATTAAAAATTAGATAAAGCTACTAGACAATCAATCTTGAAGCGATCACTTTCAATTTATTATAGAGAATTTGTTTTTTTGTTTTGTTTTGTTTTGTTTTTGAGTTGGAGTCTCACTCTGTCGCCCAGACTGGAGTGCAGTGGCACGCTCCCCAGCCACCTCGGCCTCAACCTGCCGGGCTCCGGCGATCCTTCTTCTACGACACGGTAATGAGAATCTATGAAAATGCAATAGGCATTCAATTATGGAAGTATCACCATTTCCATTTATTAAAAATTATTCTAAAAATATGTTCATTTACTGTCCCTTGAGTTTTTGTTTCTGCCACTTGTCATTTTCCAACTAAGCATTTGCAAATCCTGTACATAATGACCATTTTTATTTTATTTTATTTTTTGATGTTATTTTAAAGATGTGGGGTACAATTCAGGATTAGGTATAAAAGTGGACATCGTACAGGTAAAGTTTGGGTCTCCCTTTGGTCCTCACCTGGCCTGGTTTGAGATCAGGTACACTTACTGATATTGTCCACACACAACCCAACCTCCCTGCCTACTGCCAAACCCTTTCTTATAGGATTATGGTAAATGTTCAGGGTCCGCTTAGGAATAAGAAACATGTGACACTCGGTTCTTCATTTCTGTGATAGATCACTGAGTATGATACACTCTAAATCCATCATAATGGGCATTTTAAAAAATGTAAATATATAATCAGTTAGCAATAGCATGAAAATTTTGCATTCTGCTCTCATACCTATGACAAGAACGATTTTTGGTCGAGGTCGAGTAGGATCAAAAACTTCATACTCCTCAATTAACTCTGCTGTCTCGGAGAGATCAGTGTCACTTTCTATGGAGAATTGGTGGATTGGAGGAAGCCGATCATATCGCCGATATGGAAAGTTGGGATTTTCAGGCATTACTGCAAAAGAGTAAGATGACTTTGAAAAGGGGAAAAAAAGTATATTAACAAAACACTTCTTACTCTTAACCAGTTAGTAAAATAAACTCTAAAACTATTATTTTATTTTATTTTACTTTTTTAACTGGAACAAGGCTAGGCGGTCAGCAAACCTTTTTCTAAATTTTGGGCTTTGCGAGCCATGCAGTTTCATATTCAATTAGGCCACGGTAGCATAAAAGCAGTCACAGACAACATATAAACACACGAGTGTGCCGGTGTTCCAATAAAACTTTACTTATAAAAACAGGCAGTGAGATAAACTTGACCCGTGGGACTTTGCCATGCCCTGCTCTAGAGAACCCTTTTCAAATACTGCCAAGTCTTGTCTGGTAGGATGCATACATCTTTGCTGCTGCAATCGGTGCTCCCTGGAGTTGTACAGTACGTAACCTTCACAACCATACGCAGCTTCCCACAGAGTCAATGCCTATGCATCAGGCATTTTATTCATTCAAAAAATAAAGATATGCACTAACTATGACCCAGAAACTCTAGTGTGGTCTAGTGAAATGGCTTGGTGGCATAACAAACAAAAACTAGGGTCTTGTCACAAGTCAGGCAGACGGGAGCACACAATTTCTACCATTAGAATAGCTTTCAATATCACTGAAATTTACTTTCCAATATATTCATTATCTTTAATGTATTCGGTTTAAAATGCAAATATGAAGATTTAGGTTTATGTCTACAGCGGCAAGAAATACTTGCCATCCATTGCCATTTAGAATGTGCCAGATAGGATAGTGTGTGAAGGGTGATGCAGAAGAATAAGATGTGATTCCATCCCTGCTTACAAAGTAGAGCATCTATGCTTGTATTTGACAGCAGTAGGCACACCAGGCGGGATGCGTGCTAACATCAGTATCTCTCAAGGCAAACGCCACAGTGACTCAACACAACTCGCCCCAAGCCACCGTCATCTGCAGCCTGGACGACCGCAACAGACTCCTCGTAGGTCTGCCAGCTTGCACGCTTGTCCTCACAATCTGTTGCCTGAAATGCTCTTCTCTTTGGTCTCACGGCTGTTTCTCGTCATTCACTTTCAAGGTCACCTCCTGTAAGAGGACTTTACTGGCTTTCTAACCTAGTGTGGCCACCGGGAGAATCTCATGGACATCACTCTAATGCACTGCACGGTATCCACCACGTCACCCTCTGAGGGTTTTCTCATTCATTCGCTCATTCATTGTTTGCTTTCTCCCAGTAGGTTGTAAGCGCCACGAGAACAGGGACCTTACCGAGCATCTACAACTCTGTGTCCCTGGGATCCAGACTGTGCTCGGTGGCCGATCAGTGCCCAATAATTATTTGTTAAAGAACAAAGAGAACAACTTGCTGAAGCAGGCAGAGTGTGGCCGTGGTGTGGCAGGCCTCAAGGACCAGGGTTTAGCTTTAATCTAGTGGAAAGTGGAGATTTCGGGGTAGGGGCTTAAATAAGTGACATAAAACGATATATATATGTTTTTTAAATAAAATGAATCTGGTGGTGGTTAGAATGGATTGGAGTAGAAAAAGACTAAAAGCAGAAAGAGTAGCAGTCTCTGGGGTTTATTCGTGTTTTAAGGTTTAGAAAACAGTCCCTCACTGTCACCTCCCTCGATCTCACAAGGGCACAGGGTGTGTATTCATCACTGAGCCAGATTCTAGCAGTGTGACAACACCCCGGAAGCAAGCAGCCGATTTGGGAACGTGTATCAAGCCCACCAAAGCATCATCTTGTTCACCCAGGTACTAGGTGGGGTGCAGCCACAGCAACTGACCAGAGGTCCTCTGACGACTCCCAAGGGAACCTGCAGCCCACAGAGGTGCTCCATCTAAACCAGTTCGATGCAGTTTGAATTGGAGCCCTCACCAGGTGAGGGCTTAGGCTAAAGAACTTGCAGGGCAAATGGAAGTGGATGGCTGGAGGATGGACATGGTGAGGGTTGGAATGTGAGACATGAAAGGAGGCGACGGCTCAGAAGCAATTTCTAGGTCTCAAGTCTAGAAGGAAAGGGAACACATTGCATTTCATACAGCCTCTTTCTGCCCTCCTTCTGCTCCAGAAATACCGGGCTTCTCTCATTCTCGACCACATCACAGCTTCTCTCTCTGCCTCAGCAACTTCTGTTCTCTGTTCCCTGGTCCTCGCTCAATCCCCTCCACCCTTCCCTAGCTAACACAGATTCAGCTTTCTGTTTCCAAGGATCAGCACATCACTGCTTCCAGGAAGCCCACCCTGAACCCCAGCTTAGGTTGGATCAGTTAATATGGTTACTTCCATAACATACGGTATTTCCAATAGCACCAGTTGTATTTTTAATTATATTTTGAGTGCCCGACTTCCTTGATAGACTGTAAGGTCCCTGAGGGAAGGGGCTGCTTTTTCTTGGTGGCTGTATCACCAGGCCTAAAAAAAGATCTGGCACATAGTAGTACTAAAAAAAAAAAAAAAAAAAAGCTATTTAGCTGCTCAACTGACCTGACTGGTTCATTGACTGATTTCATGGAAAAAGAAAAAAAATAAGAAGTGCTGGTCTTGAAACAAATAAGGTTTTTTTTTTTGACATGTTGACTGTAAGATAATAATGAGATATTCCAAAGAGAAATTCCGTGGATGTTTGGAACTATGGAATTACAACTCTAATTCCCTGGTGATTTTTTATTCAGTTATATGCATGTAGCAGGAAAAATGAAGAATACTCATCTCACACTTAACACTTTAAAGACTGTCAACCAGTTAATTTATCTTTGCTTTACCATATTTCAATTTAGGAAAGTAGTTTGATTAGATGATAAAAATGCTTCATTTCATAGAATATTTTTTCATAATAATAATATATTAGCATATAGATGTCAGTATTTTTGCAAAAAGATGCATGAATCACTATATCTAGAAATAATAACTATGCTTTAAACGACTTGGCAGTTAGCAATTCTGTTGCATTTAATAAGCTATTCCACACATTATAGCTAAAACTTACAAGGCCTAAGTGAGTAAAGCATTTCATAAAATAAAATTTTATTGTTACAGGACAAATCAGCTTAGAAACCACTTTCTATCTCTTAGCATTCCTTTTGATATGGGACAGTGTGATATGACATTCTTGTCATCCCAGTACATAAAAAGGCTATATCTGTGATTTATGAATTAATTATTAATCTCTGGGTGGTAATTTTGATAAAGTATTAGTAAGAATGGAGAGCCGAAAATTAACAAGAAATTTTATTTTAATGAAAAGCAAGCCTATGTTTTCCGTTTCTATTTTAGCATATCTGCTACATCAGGAGTCCCAAATTCATCCTTTGTGAACCCAACACAGCCCCTGAGATGTTTTGCTCAGCTTGAATATCTTCTCATGATGTGTACTTGATGGCCTTTAGAAGATGACTATTCTCTCTAGTTCTGCTGTCTAGTTTGGCCACAATCCTCACCATTCTCTATTATCCACTTGGCCTTCCCGGCTTCTATGTATAGACAAGCCAAGTAACAGTATCAAATAGAAGCATCGAGGTTTCATTTTGTTACTAGAACTTTTATACTGAGTATAAAAGCGAATTTTAACTAATTCGTGTGATAGCCTCTTAGATTTAATTTTTAAAATATAAAATATCTTATATTGAATTCAGTAACATCTGAGGGGTTTTAGTGCCTTAAGGTTTACAAAACATTTCCCCACACTCATCTTACTTGATCTGACAAGGGTATGGGGTACGGATTTGACACTGAGCCAGATTCTAGCAGTGTGGCAACATCCTGGGAAGTCAGCCAGCCATTTGGAGAATGCGTATCAAGCCCACCAAAATATCTTCTTGTTCAACCATGTACTAGGCGGCGTGCGGCTGCAGCAACTGACCAAAGGTCCTCTGACAACTCCCGAGAGCACGTGCAGCCCACAGAGGTGCCCCCATCTAAGCTGAGTCGATGCAGTTTGAATTGGAGCCCTAGACCCCAACTCTGCTCACTCACTACTCTGTGGACCTAGGCTGCGCTTGGTGAACCCAAGCCCCAATGGCTTAGAAAGAGCGGACTGTATAACTTGGGACTCTACTCCATTATCAGCCAGAAACTGGGTCTATGCATAGACTGTACAGGAAGACTAAAAACCTCTTTAGAATTGGGGTGATTCTAAGGGTCAAATCAAGATATCCAGGGCAAATTCAACTTAGTAAGCATATGAGATCACCATCTTAACCTTAGAACTTATAGGCTGTAATGCCACGGCTTATTTTTTTTTAACTGAGTGATGTTTAATTATCTCTCTGTGGACATTGGATGGGGGTGAAGCATCTTGTATAATAATGTGATTAACTACTAAGACAGGGAGTGCTAAAGTTATTACTTTACATCACACCAAATATTTTCTAATTATTTATCTGTTTTTTGGTCTATTATAACATTTGAAGGCTTCTGAAATTAGTTTTAAGTAGCAGTTTCAGATATCTCATTTGCTTCTCAGCAGGGTTGGGAAATTTGGTTGAGGGCCACATCTTTCAGCAAAACGTTTGTGCGCCCACACCTAAATCACCTCGTATTGACTCCTATATGAGTAGCAAAGGACTCTTCTCTGTGAAATGTTATTTCTGCTTTCCCTCTTTCGCTTCCGCTTCTTGAACATTAGCATACTACGACTTGTTCCCACACTGCATTCAAATAAAATCTAAGTGGGTCATGACTGAATAAGGTTAAACAAACCAAGACTTGCCTCTTGCTTATGTTCACTGCAAATAGAATTGTCTCCACTTCAAATTCTGTCTGTGTAGCATAAAATTGTGGTGCAATTTTTGAGAATGGTTTAAATTTTGAAAATAGAGTGATCTGGGCCAATTGAAAGAATTCTTCTATTTTGAACTGATTCCATTTTACACGTACTATGATACTCCACGTGGAAACCCAGATTTTGATATGCACATTATTTCAGAAAGATATCAGAACACCACAAACCTTCTCAAATGAACTTCACTTCCCAGCTCCAAACAACTCCAAAAATTTCAACACGTTTAATTCTACTTCTTTTATGGCACCCGTATGCCAAATCTAACACACGGTATTCAGTATCTGCTTAATACCCTTTTATGGAATTAATGAGCATAAACTGTATATCCATTTATCCAGAGGAATTAATATGAACTCTGAACCTGGAAATATATTACTAAGCCAAATCTCTTTCCAGCTAATGAGACACATGCTGAAGTGTTACACAATAACTACCAATTTTACGTGTAGTCTACCCATTTATTCGAAAGCATCTTATTTGCAGCTTTAAGGAAAAAAAATCAAGGTTTGCTCATCTAATTCACAGTGCAAAATAATGAAGTCAGTAATATAAAATTTCATTAAGCCTTTAGTGAATTGCCGGCCAGAGTTGAAGTCTTACTCTGTCACCCAGGCTGGAGTTCAGTGACACACTCATGACCACCCCAGTGTCGACCTGCTGGGCTCCAGGAGATCCTTCCCCCTCAGCCTTCCAAGTAGCCGGAACTACAGGTGCATGCTATCACGCCCGGCTAAATTTTGATTTATTGTAGAGACGAGGTCTTGTCCAGTTGCCCCGGCTGGTCTTGAACCTGCAGGCTCAGGCAATACACTCACACTGGCCTTCCAAAGTGCTGGGACCACAGGCTGAGCCACCGAGCCTGGCCGATTTTACAAATCTGTTGTGTGTCTTTCCATGTTGGAATCAGTAGTAGAGCTAGATGAATCATGTCCCAGGGACCTACATTCTCCCAGGCATTTATAAACCCAAAACATCCAATCACTGCCTGTTATCTACATGGCATGCCTTAGAGCCAGTTGCTCTCACTGGAAGTGCTTGTTGTCCCACATAATGTATATACATTACCATTTCTCAGAAAGGATCTCCGGGACTGTCCACCATTTAGCGGAGGCAGGGTCTTCTTTTCCTGGCTGACAAATGTATCCCATTTTACTTTGTCGCAGCCACCCAGTTCCTTCACTTTCTGTAAACAGCTTTCCAAGTACTCTACCGGGTCTTCGGGCTTAGCGCACATCAGCCCATTCAGAAGGCTCTGGAATACAACAAAAGGTGCACACGTAAATGATGTTTCGACACTACCTTTGATAAAGCAGTGCTATGTCCCCCCTTTGAATTCTGGGCTGTTTTTGTGCTTTGCATCCGTCTTTTAATAAACAACTGGAGTCGAAATTATGATCTGATTGAGTAATTTAGACAAATGCCCTCAAATTCTGGGTCAGTTAGTCTTCGGGTCAGCACTCTCTGCCTTTCAAAGCAACTCAGGCAGCTATCTAGTTTAAAAATGGAAAGACACAGCCGGGCTTGGTGGCTCAGCCTGTAATCCCAGCACTTTGGGAGGCTGAGGTGAGTGGATTGCCTGAGTCCCTGGGGTTCGAGACCCACCTGGGCAACTTGGCGAGACCTCATCTCTACAATAAATAAAAAAAAAATTAGCTGGGTGTGATAGCGTGCGCCTGTAGCTCCAGCTACTTGGAAGGCTGAGGCGGAAGGATCGCCAGAGCCCAGCAGGTCGAGGCTGCAGTGGCCGGGAGTGTGCCACTGCACTCCAGTCTGGGTGACAGAGTGAGGCTCCAACTCAAAAAAAAAAAAGGAAGACACTTATCACTGTGAGAAAAAGGGCAGCGTGTGAAAACGCCCCCATCATTATTCACCTCACTCCTTCCCATCCTTGAAGTCTCCAAGCCTCGATTTCTTCTGAAAAATGGGGGTAATAAGAAATATCTCGTAGATATTTTTTAATAATGAAAAAACATTTATATTGGCACAATCCATACTAAGTGTCTAACATGAAGTAAGCACCCAATAAGTGCTGCTGCTGCTTTCAGTTATTATTGTTATCCAGGGGTCTCCCCTGAATCCCTGGGTTGGCTTATGGACCTGCTTCTCTGAATTCCTATCGAATTCAGCAGAAAAGTGCCACACTTGTTATTTATACTGAAACCATCAGGTTACACGTTGGTCTCCCCCTTCTAAACTATAAGCTGTTCCCCAACTCAGAGTGCATCTTAATTGTTTTTCAATACCCAGCACATGACACTTTCCCTGGCACACGGTCGGTGCATATTAAACCGGTTTCTGATTAGGAAAAGAATCTCTCAAAATTCAACTCTGAGTGAGACTCAAAAACAAAAATAGAAAGAACCTGAAGTCTCAGGCTAAAAGAAAAATGCTCTTTGATGTCTAGTAAGGCAGTACGGTACCCATGGATGCTTGAGAGGAAAAGGACCGGGGTCCTGTGATTTCTTTTCCGTCCCCGATGACCCATGTGTCACACGTGCCAGCTTCTTAAAACGCTACAAGTGTGGAAATGCTGACTTCCGGAAACCAGACTGATATGCAAAATATTTTCCTTCGGGGTGTTTCATGGAAAAAAACACAAGGACTATTTTTTTTAAGTTTTGTGGCTTTTAATTTTAATTTTATATAAAACCATATGAAAATCTATTTGACAATAGTTTCCCCAAATCAATATTTGACTGAATAGAAAAGACTGAATTATGAACCACAAGATTTGCAGAAGGTAAGGAGGATTTCACAACAGAAAATGTTTTGCCAATTTATCTTCTTCATAGCCCGTTCCTAAGAGATAACAACAGCAACAACAACAATAATTGCTTGCACAAATAATTATACAGTGAGTTTTCACTTAGTATCATCCATAGGTTCTTGGAAACCGAAATTTTAAGCGAAACAAAGTATAATGGCACTTGTATAAAGACCATTAACACCAATATACCTTATATGCTATCGCCAACATTACATAAGGTTTGTTATCACCAAAATACATGATTAAAACACCCTTTGAAAGGCTGATGTCTTTTCCACATTCAATATTTTATTTTCAAATTAGTCTTGTGTAGTTTTCCCAGAATGGCAGGTGGATTTGTTTTCTGAAAATCCTAAACAGAGTGGGTTAGCATGTGTAACTGTATCAGACAACTTCAATCCCAGCGGGAGTGGAGAAAGCCCACCTGGGTATCCAACCCAGCTGATGTGTCAAAGTCCCCCTGCAGCTCAGCTGCTCACATTCCTCCTGCACACTGGGCCTGTATGAGCTTTATTCATGTAAAAGACCTCTGGCCCACTCATGCATTTGTTTACCCAATGCCCACTCAGCCCTGTGTGGCATTATTAACCTCATTTTATGGATCAGAAAACCATGGCTCTGAGATGTTAATGACTTGCTGAAGGCTACTCAGCTCGAAATGCCTAGGCCATGATTCAGTACATCCTTCTTTGTACATCTTGCAAAAATATGACAAAGGGTAACAGAACATACCAGATTCACTGGGCCTTGTGTATAATCCAACTAACAACATACATTACTCAAGATTAGGGCTTCTACTTTTTAAGAAATCCCTACTGTTGCCTAAAATGGGTAAACACACTCAATGAATCTTTTCTGACTAGAAAACAAACATTTCCGGCCTTTCTACACAAAATGGATTCCTCAAAGGGCACTGATTTAGAAGGGGACCATCAGTTCCACTGCCTCATGGATAATTTAAATCCTTTTTTCTAGTAGCCAACCCCATTATCAGGGGTCGGAGACAACCAGCCGATATAATGTCTCAATCCCCGAGTTAATCCTTGGAGAACCTGAATGATCTAACGGGACTTTCCACAGTATTCCAATTAATAGCCAAATCTCTGTGGTGTAGGATCAAAAATACACCATAAGGTTAAGCTTGAAGTAAGAACTCATGACAAAATCAGGAAAAAGGCGTGTTTTAAAAAATTAATCTAAAAATGGAAACACCTCTCAAATATGAGCCTACCAAAGATATGTCACGTTCCGTTGAGCCTACACGGTGTCTCTGATCAGGAAGAACTCTGAAGAGTTAGTTAGAGAGATCTACTTGCTTGACAACAGTCCGTCATTCGGTCTAGAATGGTGTCCAACCTTCACGACTGGGGCCAATGTTTTGGAGTTTAATAGGTATCTGATTGTTAAACTTGGTATGCCTAGAATATTGTGGTTTTGATGGAGAAAATCCACTTCAGGAACCTAAAATATTTCGTTTTACAGTCTGCACTCCTCACGTGGAGAACCGCTGAGTTTTGCTTCCCTCTGGCAGAGTGCACAGAACAAGTTCATTCTCCTGGAAGGAGTCGCCTTTGGGGCCAGGGCAGATTATTTCCCTCTTCCCACTATATCCAGGACTGAATCTAAGTGCACTGTGTGACCGCATCTCACCTAAGCAGGCTGACATCCCTTTCCGGGTGTGCCCTATTTCAAATCGTCGCATTCATATGCAGAAAAGCCAACAAAAAACACACAACCCGGAAACCCACACGCCATCACTCATTGGCATACACAGTCCAGATTTTCATAAGCAAGCCATCACCATCCACTAGGAGTGGTGTGCAAGCAGGTGGTCTTCCCACAGGTGTTTTAAATTATTTCTTTAGACGTGCAGAAACGTAATTGACCCCAGGCATCGTCGTCGTGAGGCAAACTTTCAGCTCTTGTCTCTACATTTACTTTTACGAAAATTGAAACGACTCGTAAGATTCCCACCCACTCCAAGACCCGTCCTTATGCAACACCAGCTGGCTGTCTTCGCGCGGGAGAGACGCCCTGGCAGGGTTTGGGCTTCACACCCAAGACTGAAGCTCCGCGGGGGGCTGACCCGGGAATCCTGGCTTCAGCGGACCTGAAAATGGTGGCTCGCTGAGCGAGAGGACGTCTGTCACCGCGGCGGCCCATTTTAAAGATACCGGGTGGACGCTGTCGTTCCAAACGGTGTTTTTTAAAAAATTGTGTTTAACAGACAAAATCCCCCAACAGGAGAAAGAGGCGAGACCGCCAGCTCCCCACATCAGTCTGTCGGGGTTCAGAAACGGGGGCCCGGGCTGCAGCGAGCGGACCTCCCGTTCCGCGCTCGCCGGGGCAGCGGGGCTGGCCTCCCGCCCTCCGTCCC